ACGATATTTCACTCAATCTGGACGAGCATTACCGTCGTTTCAACACACGTCTCTCATCTGATGATATTACTTCAATGCTGCTGTAACACACACACACACACACACACACACACGCGCGCATTCATTCATTGCACAGTCTGTGCAGACAGGAAATTACACGCACCAAGTACAACTTGAAAGTCAGTTTGTGCCATGCTACATAGATTGAAGTAATGGTGACGTACATAAAGTCATAGGATTTGACAGTCAATATGTGCCAACCTGCATAGATTGAATATTGCTGAGTACAGCGTTAAGCAATAAACAAACACACTATGTCCTACCCTTCTCCTCTGTACTGATTTAAACATGTTATATTCATTGAAAAAGAGGATTGGGTACAAGTTATCCAACTTCGTGATTCCCTCTCCCAATATTTACAACAATTATATTTACAACATGATATAGGTGAGGTGATTGGGTTTTACGTCGTGCTCGAGAATATGACGACGTGCATGCGTCTGTATAAGCCCAGACTTAAGCTGGTCAAATATGCAATACCCCACTCAGACAATTATACAGAGAAGGGACCAAGAATGACCACTCCAGCTCATGATCGATTCATCCGAGTGATGGACGCTGCGGGACAGGTGCCTGATCCTAGTGGAACTTGAGACCAAACCATTAGAAATCGTCTGAGAGAAAGGGATATCGAGGATATCAACCAAAAGTTGGACCTGTCCTGACACGACTACATCGACAAAAACATGTCCAATGGTGCAACGGGGTACAGGCGTGGAACGCATGGAGCGCGTTTGGTTCAGCGATGAGACGCGTTTCTTCCTTCAACGACGGATGTGAGATGTGAGACGTGTCTATCGACGTCAACATCAACGTTTTGTGCCGAACTGCGTTCGACAGGTGGACATATATGGTCGAGAAAGCTTTATGTTGTCGGGAGTCATGTCCAACACGGGCAAAATCGGAGCTAGTGGTGATTCCAGGCGTTGTTTCGGACATAAATAAAATAAGTTTCTTATTTTGTATGGTTTCAGCTTGAACCTGCTTCATGTGATATTCTACAAAGCAACAATACGAATGTGTTTCACCAAAACTGTCACAGCATATAGCGGTGAATAGGAATTTTGCAGATTCGGATGTTCTTGACTTTTGAAACTGACAGTAGGTCAAGTACCTTTTCTATGGCTGAGAGTCTAGTTTGCACTTTTGGTAACAGTGTGTTCAAGAAGACAAGCTTATTTCTCCCTGACTAACCAGGCCTGGGTTACACGCTCGTCCCAGGTGACAAACGGTCTCGGCAGACTGAGCTATCTGCATTTGCATCTCGTCAATTGTCTTGGCAGCGAGGGATTTAGCTATCTCTGATAGTCGTTATACTGTAGCTTAGCTTATCAAGTTATATATTTCCTCAAGATCTGTTCACCAGCGATCCTAGTCAGTTTTAATGGGGATCTTGATCCCATAGGTGATCTGTCTTTAGTTACACTTAGCAGTAAAAAAAATGACTGTGAACTGATACCATATTTTCTGGTACTACTATGTATTTACTAACATCTTCATCCAGAGAGTATAGCCCTGTGGCAGAATACTGCTGACTCAGGTGTTTAACAGCATAGAAGCAAACTCATTTAGTTTTACATACCCGCACATGTTGGCAGTCGTACTGACGATGAGGCAGACAAGCACCGAGCCAAGTGGATTGACCATACAGGTTCCTGTTAGTGCGATGCAGTATTTCTCTCTACCTCTGCCTGTGCACCTCCCTCTCTCTCTCTCTCTCTCCCTCCCTCCCTCTCTCTCGCTCTCTTTCTCTCTCTCTCTCTCTCTCTCTCTCTCCCTCCTCCCTCCCTCCCTCCCCTCCCTCTCCTCCCTCCCTCCCTCCCTCCCTCCCTCTCTCTCTCGCTCTCTCTCTCTGGTTCTACCTGTTATTCTGGTATCGCTCACCCTCTTTCGGGTAATTGTGTATCTGTTGTGTATCTCTCCCTTCAATGCAATCTCCCTTTGTCTGTAATACTCTGTAATATTCTTCTCTTCCTACAGTGCTATATGTATATATACATATACATATATAAATATCTTTCTCTGTAATGGTGTTATTCTTCTCTTCCTCTTCCTGTAATACAGTCTCCCTTCAGTTGACGATCGCCAGCGTAATGACGGTTGAGTTGACGTAGCGAGATGTTTATCATGTATGTTAAAGAATACACATCCACATCCCCTGAGACACTGAGTACTCTTGACAATCAACGAGATGGGTTTTTTGTAGGGCCTAGCATAGAGTATGCATGTGCATCAAGGTTTGTTGAGTGCGCTTTCCTGGTTCAGTTCACATTTCATCGTACACATGTAACCCGAGGTGACACTGATGTTCCAGAGAGTCTATGCCGCTCATCAACTCATCACCACCGTGTTATGTTTCCAGTTACACTTCAGAATACGCCCGTAGGGGTCCCGCGGAGTATGGGTGGTGGGGTAGCCTAGTGGGGGTCCCGCGGAGTATGGGTGGTGGGGTAGCCTAGTAGGGGTCCCGCGGAGTATGGGTGGTGGGGTAGCCTAGTGGGGGTCCCGCGGAGTATGGGTGGTGGGGTAGCCTAGTTGGGGTCCCGCGGAGTATGGGTGGTGGGGTAGCCTAGTGGGGGTCCCGCGGAGTATGGGTGATGGGGTAGCCAGTAGGGGTCCCGTGGAGTATGGGTGGTGGGGTAGCCTAGTGGGGGTCCCGTGGAGTATGGGTGGTTGGGTAGCCCAGTAGGGGTCCCGCGGAGTATGGGTGGTGGGGTAGCCTAGTTGGGGTCCCGTGGAGTATGGGTGGTGGGGGAACCTAGTGGTTAAACCGTTCGCTCATCAGGCCGAAGACCCGGGCTCGTTTCCCAACATAGTTTCAGTATGTGAAGCCCATTTCTGGTGTCCCCCGCCGTGCTGGAATATTGCTAAAAGCGGCGTAAAATTTCACTCAAGTGGAGGACCCTAGTTCTATGTCTGAGAATTATAATGTGCATATAATAATAATGGTGGGTTCGAAGAGGCAGCGTTTCCCGAGCAAAGTCCCATTCTCTGTCTCCAGATCAGGAGAGTGGCCGAGTTCTCCACCGGAAGCACAACCTTTCTGACACTCTGGGTACATATTCTCAGGAAAGTTCTTGGTGGGTTCGACTAAGCAGCGTTTCCTGGGAGGAGTGCCATTCGCTGTCTGGGCTACGTGTAGAGGGGGCGAGGGCCCTGAGCTGATAATGAGCCTTACCAGCCTGACTCTGTCAGGATCACCCGAACCCTCTCTGCTGCATATTTATCTTAATCTGTAAAATATAATAATAATAGTCTTTTTACATTGCGCATTTATCCATGCACACTGCATGCTAAAACCGCTGGCATATTACCCCTGGTCAACGAATCCAGAACACTCCCTGAGGAGAACACAACCGGTCGCCGGTGAGGTGCTCAGGGTTCAAATTCATACTATCATCGTATCATACCAGGTACTGCTGGGTGGAAAGAGTGTACAAATATCGCGTGTGGGTGGGTGAGTCTTATTCCCCTGTCCCCATGACAGTCTCCTTCTGTGTCTCGATAGATCTGACAAAAACAGGACATGATCCACAACATATGAAGGAGTGGATCAAGAATGACAACACAAACGTCCAGGATTCCTCACACAGGTAGTATATGTGTTCGTTTAGTTAAAAACTCAACTTTACTAAATAGGAAAGGATGTATCTCTTTTTTGCAATTGGTAACAAAGTGTATCCTTTGAAATGCGTGAATGGGCAAGGAAAACGTCTTCGCTAGCTATTATTCCTTCTGGCACACCTGCAGCTGCTTGTTGTGACTTCAACTGTCACGTGAGCGTCTTGTTCTGTCTGTCCTAATAGCTTCATCCACAGGCTGACTGTTTCATTGTTAAAGGCACAATGTCCTTACGACTTGCCTGAAATCTATAATCGAAACTTCGGGGCTTACAGCTTCCAAAGAGAGAATGCTTACCATATATGGAATGTAAACAATTGCTCCGTACATCGAAAACTGTCACAAGCAATGTTGTCGGTGGTTTCAGTAACACCTTGAATTATAGAATATTCGTAAAGAGTGAGTGAGTGAGTATAGTTCTACCCCGCTGTCAGCAATATTCCAGCTATGTGGCGGCAGTCTGTTAATAATCGAGTCTAGACCAGACAATCCAGGGAACAACAGGATGAACAGGATGTCTACGCAACTGGGACACACGTGTCAACCAAGTCAGCCAGCCTGACCACCCGATCCTGTATTCGTAAAGAGCGCTCCAAGGGACATAATTCTATGGCGTTCGCTTGAATAATATTCGGCTGGTAGAGGGCGCGAGAGTCGTTTTAATGTAACGTTGCATTAATTCATTCGAACTTTTTAATTTAATAACGTAATCTAAATACGTAATTTGTTTTGGAATAACTTATATGGTAACTTCCCTGAGGGCAGGTAGATAATATTATTGAGAGAAATGAATTACGTATTTTCAGAGAACTGTGGTGTGAAATAGTGTCTTTAAAATTTTATGAGATTGAAATGATTTCTTTGCCCGTGTCCGAGTTCTACTGTTGTAAAAACTGACTTATCCTAAAATCCCAATGTACTATGTGGGTCAGATTATACAGAAAGTACACGTGGCAAGGAAGCCGCAGCCAGATATATGAAACTCAGATTTTAAGATCAAACACATCTTAGAGGTGGCCATGTGAGTAATATTTGGTTGTGAGTGTGCTGTTGTTTTTACTAAGGAAATTAATATGCAATGTTGTAAAAGATCGGGTTTTTTGTGACCAGCTGAACAGGAGCGCGATTTGAGGAAGACAATGCATCGTCACACATCGATGTCATTTTGTTTCATCTCTAACCAGAAAAGCCTTGAGTAAAAGTTACATGCAAATCCGAAACCAAGTCGTTTGAGGTAAAAATGTTTGTGAATTGTATATCTTTATCATCTTTATCATCACAAGGAAAGGGTGACTAAGTTTCAAACAGTAAATGTTATGTAATTTTCAACATTGCTACTTTATTGGACACAGAGAGTGACGTTTACAATTCCTTTTCACAAATAAAGTTTGCATTGTACATAGTACAGTTCTCATCATTCCACAGATAGTTTTCATAGCGCCGTTTGATATCCAGACAGTGTTCCAGACCACCACCGTTATCGGGTTGACCAGGACTCCAGTGGCTGTAGATCATGGGCTGCTGACCCTCCCAGAGCCAAGTTCCTTCTGTGTTCAGATCAGTAGCTCCAAGATAATAGTTAGCAGCTGAAATGAAGTAGAAGATGATTTTAAGTCCCAGTACCGTACCAGCTTACGGTTCAATGGAGTAAAGGAACAAGAATAAGCAGAAATGACATATCATATTGCCTAATTTTACCATTAAACTGTTGAAAGATTATTTATGCTATCTGCCGTCGTTATGGTTATTCTGAAAAAAAACACACTTCTGGCGTAGCGGGTGAATGAAATCAAGGGAGGTAACGACAGTTGTCATCTGCAAACTTTCCACATAGCGGATATGGGATTCAGCAAGTATATTTAGAGTTAACTCCCCTGGCGCTTAAAATGTTGAGTGAAATATATTTTACATGAGTAATTATTAAATAAGAGTCTGGAAATCTGAGAGCACAACCCTGTGAGAAAATTGGCGTCTACTTGTGATGGTGGTGATAATTTATTTTGACGTTTTTTTGCGCTTCAGTTTGCCTGTGTTTAGACACACTACAGGTATTCTTGCTTGACACCGGTATAAAAATCTACCCCGGGACGTTGCACCATAGTATAATAAAGAAGTTGGTATCCATGAAGTATGGTACTTTTTCTCATAAATACAGTCAAATCCCGATGAGTCGAATCGTTGGGGACCAAGTAATAAATTCGACTTATCGATGTATTCGAGACATAGGTATGTCTATGGGGGTAGAAAAAAAAAGATGATCCAGTCCTAATTCCTCCGCCTAAGCATTTGTTTATCTAATGATTTCCATATCACTAATAGGGGCACCTTATCAGTTCCAGTCTGATTAGCACAGACAGTGATTTCCATAAAATCACTAATCTGCCTTTTGAACTCACCCGTCAATGGCGGAAAGGTGTGAGCCGCGCTGGTTTGTTAATTGGATCAGTTTGCTACACCAATCAACTTCTCATTGACTGACTTCGGCTTATGTATACAAGATTGCTGTTGTTTGAATCTCATGGGACCAAATTTCCTTCTCGAGTCATCGTGTGTATTTATGAGACGAATTCGTGTAACTGGTATTCAAATGATGACAACTATAACAGGGAATGATCAGGACCGACAGATACTTCGAGTTATTCATAATATTCGAGACACCAGCATTCGACTCATCAGGATTTGACTGTATATGTGTCGTATCAATATATAAACATAAAACAGAAGGCACGCCAGTTAGTATTTAGGCATTAAAAACTAAAGTGTGTAAGAGTAATTATTCAAATATGGACATTGGTAATAACGTTTAAAAAAAGGTATTCTTAATATGTTCTGACATTTCATTGCAAGAATTTTTCAGACTATATTGATGTTTTAAACATGATGTCATAGAACAAACTCGTACAGGACCCTAAATTTGCAATGCTATCAGTAAATGTCAACGTTGGCGGATCTTACGTACGTATATGTGCATAGGTCAGTGACCTTGCGCCACATGGCCTTATGTCCCCATCTAAAACACCTGACTGACATGATCTCCGGTGAAGGAGAAGGGCCCAGATCATTGACAGAGGCACACGGATGGTGCGGCATGTCATAGGTGTCGCCTCACCAACGACGATGAAAAATCGTCCCCCGACTTCTGCATTCGTGCAAGTGACAGAGAGGGTCTCTGCACCAGGAGGGCGGTGGGGGAGCCTAGTGGTTAAAGCCTTGGCTCGTCACGCCGATGACCCGGGTTCGAATCCATGGGTACAATGTGTGAAGCCCATTTCTGGTGTCCCCCACCGTGATGTTGCTGGAATATTGCTAAAAGCGGCGTAAAACCAAAACTCACTCACTCACTCTGCACCAGGAACATTGGTCACTCATTCACAATGTACGTTCTGTCACTTGATTACCGTCAAGTTTTACCATTTCGACCATTATTCGACCAACTACAATTAACATGGCTGCGGTCATCTTCAACTCTACCGCTGACTTTTGTCTTCCGTCTGTCCACCATCCTGAACTCTGAATCGAATGCTTTTTAGCAATAACATAAGCCGTAGATAGTGGCATCAAGCAACAATGTATCTAACTATCTGTTGATTTCCTTTTTTTCACCCTTGTCCACTATCAACAAAGGCAACGTGTGCAGTATTGGCCTCTATCTTAATAAATGGCATCTGTTATTTGTAATCATTGTCTTTGATACAGTGAAACACGCAGGCATCTAACACTTTCGGGAAAGCTATCACTGGATGTTTAAATCCAAGATTCATCATATTTACAGATTCGTCAACAAAATGCAACAAAAACTTACTCTTCAACACAACATATACATTTTCCTTCTTGTTGACTAGAAGACTACTTTATGTTCCACTGAATAAAACTGTTAACCCAATAGTAGTATCTGTCAGTTGTGTGCAATGTGCAAGACCGGAACTCATCATTCCTTCTTCATAGCTTTTTGCTGTGAGGTTGTGTTCACGATTTTCTCTGACATTATTTGACTGCCTCCGTAGTGAAGTGGTTAGAGCATCCTCCTGGAGAGCGGAAGGTCGCGGGTTCGATTCCCAACCGTGTCATACCAAAAGACGTTAAAATATGGTACTTGTTGGTCCCTGCCTGGCGCTTGGCATTTATGGGTACAACAAGGACTGGTCGGCTCGGAGTCAGTATAATGCGTCTAGCACTATAAAACCAGCATAAGTCTGGGCTAGTACAAGCAGCCGCACATGCACATACACACGCATGCACGTCGTCATATGAGCGAAATATTTTCAAGCACGACGTTAAATCCAATTTCACCTCACCTCACCTCTGATATTATTTTAGTGTTTACTCTTTCATCGGGCCTATTGTGTGTTTCATTGAGGTCGTGTTTCAATTTTGATTGTTGCACAACTATATTTTGGTGTTAGATTCGTATTTTCTGTCATGTTGCGTGTTTGATCAGTTTGTTTACTGGCGGCTTAGTCGAAGATGTCGGTGTTTACTACCAAGTCATCCTCGATAATCTTCAGGGTATACGTTCCAATAATTCCCCACTATACCCTGGATGCATCTACGGCTCGAGCCGATGATTTTATTACCTCCCTTGGTTGGCTTTTTATCAAATTAGGTGTCTACGCTGAGAAGTTGAGCATACCAATCACAACTCACTTTCGCTTATTAAAATATCTAACCGATTTAACTTGGCAAAATAATAATATATTGTTGCAGAGGTACTCTGAAAGAGGTAGGAGTTCTTGCATATATTTTTTTTAAAGATTGCAGATGTGTCGATTTGTCTGTATGTTTCCCAACAAAATCTGAGTCGCACTGCGAACAGACTTTCGCGGATGCGACCGCTATCTTTGTCGACACTGGCAAACTCGGTTGTTACGGCTGCTTATCTCATTGGCTACTGTGAGAAAGTGGAGCCACCAAAGGGAGGTAATAAAATCGTCAGCTCGAGCCGTAGATGCATCCAGGGTATAGTGGACATTTATCGGAACGTATACCATGGAGATAATCGAGGATGCTACCAAGTGTGACAAGTGTCCCAAAGAGTGGAAGGATCCACATGGTTGGTGTCCCGACTGTTTGGACATGACGTGCACTAAGGTCCTCCGTCTGTCTCGGCGCGGCTTAGTGCCTCTCCGGATCATGCTTCCGGTGTTGAGGATCTTGATACTCCTCCCCGTGTTCCATCTTCAGCGGAGGTCTAGGTCAATTAAGATTTACTCCAAGTGGAGCCAGGCAGACTTTAGAGCTTTGGTGAAGACATTGCGGTGGACCTTTAATGCTGACTCCCGGATTAGGGAATCTTCCACGGGTGGTAGACTTGCACTACCCCTCATAGAAGTTCAGTGGACACTGTGGTGACTGTGGAGAAGAAGGTTGCGGCGGCGGCGACCTTTTCTCATTCTGGCTTTGCTCCTTCAATGACGGCTCTGGTCAGTAGGAGAATTCCCATTACCTACCCTCACATACTGGTTGTGCCTTGGACATCAAGGACCTTGTGAATGTGGTTTGTCACAAGCACAAGATTCAACACTCCCTGACTGGTTAAATGGGACACGGAAGTCCGAGCCATGGCGGTTCTTTCTGACATGATAGTGCACACCTGCGATGCCCTTGGTTCAGTTCTAGTTACTGACAAGCTTTGGGAGAACTGGCAAGCATTGTGCTCAGATGCCAGCAGCATGAGAGAGCTTGACTGCATCGATTCTCTTGGCCTGTAAATCCTGCTTTCTGGAGGGTGCGAAGCTTCCCGATCATCCGAAGACAGAAATCCGCACATCCCCAGTGTTTCAGATCAGCTTTTCACTGGGTCAATATAGTAGACAGTAGTATAAACAGGCATGGGTCGATCTCATGACCAAGACAGCTGAGAACTCTTTCGCAAGGTCGTGGTGTAATCGACTCCTTAGAGGCCTACTTTTCCGTCACTCCAGGATCACATTTGGCAAGCCAAAAAATTAAGAAGTCCGACAATGCACCCAAGATCCTATCCAAACCCCCTGGCAGGGGGGCGTGGCCAGAGGAGGCAGTGACGTGGCATGGGTGTCTCCATCCCTTCCCGCTCCAGCTATAGACCCCAGCGCATGTGTTTCTTTACCAGTTGGTAGTCGTCCGTCGATGTTCCTACCCAGCTGGCATCAGATTTTAGATGACCCCTTCATCTTCTCTGTTTTAGATACAGGTTTTGGTTTCTCCACCGTTTACCACTAAGCCAATAGAGGCACCCCTAGCCAGACAAGAAGCTTCAGTCTGTGTCACAACTTTTCAGGGTGATGCAACCACTAACGCTCTATTTGCACCAGGTCGGCGTTCCCTTGGAGATGTACCTTGACAAAGTGTTCGTGGTTCGACTTTGTCTACGGCTGCTTGTCAGACAGAAAAACTAAGTCATCAGTCTTTTTCATCGATTGCATATTCATTGGGGTCACTTCCGAACGTCACTTCGTCTGGTAGTTCCCCAAGAGAGGCTTCACGCCTACTAACCTCTGATCCAGCAGGTGCTGCGCACTTCCCTCAAGTTGAGAGAGTGACAACACCTATTAGGCTTTCTCAGCTCCACTCAAGATCCAACGTCCTGAGGACGCCTGATGCTCACAACACTTCAGAGGTTTCTGACCCTGTGGGTCAGTCGCAAGGACATTTTCATTCGGATCCCTTGTCCCCGCAGTCTCCACCAGTATCTAGGGCGGTGGCTCCAACCATTGAGTGTCCTGATGCCATTCGAGGCTACTCACAATCTTTTCATGGATGCGTCCAAGGGTGGGGTGCTCTAATGGACAGGACAACATCAGCCAGGTTGTGGTCGGAAGAACAAGGTCTTCACATCAACAACCTGGAGTTTCTGGCACTGATCCTAGCCTTAGATCCCTGTGATGGTTGTGACCGACAATGTGACAATTGCGGCATTCATCAACAAATTGGGCTCAACGAAGTCGGCATCTCTATTTATCCTGACCTTCCGTCTTTTCAGTATCGCGGACGAGTTCAGAATTCAAGAGAATGCGCCTCATATTCCAGATGTAACCACCGTTCTGGCAGACGCCCTCTATCGACCAGATCTTCTTCCACTGATGGAATGGATGCTGCATCAAGCCGTCTTTCGCCAGAAAGCTGACCTCCGGGGTCGACCCATCATGGATATGTTCGCCACAAGATGCAACAAGCAGCTAGAGACGTTCATTTCTCCAGTCCCGGATCCTCTGGCATGGTGTCTTGATACTCTTGCCGTCAGCTGGGATGGGTTGGATGTGTACGCCTTTCTCTCCCAGGCCTCATACTTAAGTAGTGGAGAGAAGATTGAGCCCACCAATCTCCTTAGAATGCGTCTGGTAGGGCCGTTCTGGCCTGCACGCCAGAGGTTTGTGGCACCAACAGAACTGACAAGCGGTCCACCTCTACCTCTGTCGGAGTCAGAATGGTTTGCGCTGCACATATATGGCTTGACCCTCATTGGGCTCGAGCCCTGGGTCAGAAATAATGTAAGGCTGTTTCTGGGTTGGAGAGACCACCTTCACCAACCACTACTTTCGCGATCTTGCCACTCAGGACCTGGTTGGACTGTCCTCCCTGGGTCCCCTAACCTTTGCTCAACACACACTGGTCAGATCGCGAAGTCTCCCCAGACTGTCATGTATATATCAGCATTTGTCCTTCACTTTGTATGGTAAGTAAACAAACTCTGTGACAAGGTATTTTGCTTACGTACGTTGTGTTCTGTGGTTTATAGAGAATGGGGAAAAAAATGCCTAAACTTGAGCCTATACCAACCCTACTCTCTCAAGTCACGCAGTCTGTGACACTCAGTCTCCCACAGCCCTGGCGCCAGTGGGCGTCTGGGATTGCCTGCTCTGGCATTTTCCTGTAGCAGGTAGCCCGAGGGTACCTCTGTATCTGTCGTGGTGTAAGTTAAAAGAATAGAAAATTCAGAGTAGGTTCTTATTTTTATACTTATGCTTCACAGGTAAATACCCGGCCTCCCCACCTACCGGGGCAACTTCTCATTTTATACTTTTCGACGGAATGATGAGTTTCCAGTCATGCGCAGTGCACACATATGGGGATACATGGAACTCAACAACCTCCAGTGTAGGTGGCTAGTCCCTGTATAATCGGTAGCTGACCTTATCCTGCTACTGTTGTCTGCGGAGGATGCACCAAACGCACCTTAATGCCTAATCCAGTTTTAGTGTACGCTCATTACGTCCATAGAACAGGCCTAGGTGCAACGCACATCGTTGGTTTAGGTTTAGGACATAAAGTGACACAAGTGAAGTTTCTGTTTTGGTTTAGTAAACTTATTTACAGAGGCCATTCGAGCCTTTTGACAGAAAATGATGATCACAATGCAATGTGGTCGGTTCCATATAAGTCAACTGCAGTCACTCCACACACGTGTATGTGTTGGTCAGTTGGGCTTAACGCCCCAATGCTTCACTGTTTTATAAAATTAATATCGTGACATGTATATTTTTTCGGTTTGACCATATTCACAATTAACTTTCCTGATAAATCAGATATAACTGTATAACAATAGATGAAACACACACCAGTGTTAGCAGTGGGGTAGCCTAGTGTAGCTCTCGTCACGCAAAGCCAGATTAAATTCCCTATATGGATACTCTGTGGGTTGTGGAAAACAATTTCTAGCAATAACACCTTTGTAGTAATAGGGCACTTGTTACAGTGATAAACTGTGATGTCGCCTAACTACTTGAGGACAACTTACCTCTTCCATGGCTGGATGCATAACCTCTGACAAAGTCATCTTCATCCTTGCTGGTCACTTTGGCGAGGTGGCTTCCAAGGTACTGACAGAAGGACTGTAAGGATTACATTAACAATTAAAACGTGTATATTGTGAACTTCAGGTGTGTGGATTATCATTATATTACAGGATATTTATATTTATTATAGGACAGTTATGTAGCGCACAGATCCACGTAACTAGTACATGCTCAAGGCGCTGGTATTTTCCCCCTCGATCATTGGATGTCAATCTCAACGGCATATCGTAGTATCAATCTCGGCTCCTTGGATATCATACAATTCTTGCTGCCACAAGGCGCACCGAGGACCTTTCCCATCCTTACGAGGTACCCATTCACAGTTGGGTGGACTGGACACATAGTCACAATACTTTGTCCAAATTTACTGCACGTTGCTATACCCGCAACTAGGTGTTCATGTGGCCACCATCTGGTCATATACCAACATATTCGTGGGTTATTTTAAGCGCACAGGGTTGTGCAGTGTACACTGGGGGTTGTGACTGAAAGAGTCTGCACACAAAGTTGACTCCAAGGTTTTTACACCCGGTCACAGGTGGGCTCGATCCCGAGACCTCAAGTTCCCGGGATCACTAGCCTGGCGCCTTAGCCAGCTCGCCTGCCATACTGGGGCTCAATAACGACAATCAGGACCATTCCCCAAAGTTTAATTATTATATCAATAGCTGCAATATGGATCGAATGTAGAATGGTTGCACACTCTTCAAAAAAGGAAACGCATAAGCCATTTTTAGAAGAATGTATTGCGTTAGTTTAAGTGCAATCATTTCATGTAGTGTAAAAAGTCTAAATTTCACACGTCTATAGACAAAGAGTTCGCCAACACAACAGCAGCCATTATTGTTGTTTATTGTTTACTTGAGTCCACAAGATCAGTACTTTGGATGGCCACCATTGGCAGCAATTACTACTCGGCACCGTCTCGGCACGGGGTATTCTCGGGACGCCAGACAACAGACAACATTTTACAAGACTTCGGGCAATACTAAATTATAAAATTATAAGGAAACGAAACAAGTTTGTTTTTTTCTTTACAACTTAATATAAACACAATGGCGGTGGTTTCACAATTGTTCAATCTGTCCCTGGTGGCCTAGTCTCTTTCTTGAAGGTTGGAGTATTTTATTATTAGAAATCGACAAACCTCAATTTCATTCGGAACAGCAGGCTGGTTGTGTGCACTGGGCCGCTTGGTGAGGATGTCGTTGACGGTAGATATAATTGATTTACAATCCTTAATGAATCATTAGTCTTCGCTTCAGAATTCTGTAAGTGTGCCCATTCACGCGGAAGTATCTTCCACTTCGAGATCTCGGAATTCATTTTTTGTAATTTAACGGTACGGTTGCCACAGGGAAAGTGATGATGATTGACCTCATTTTGCCAGAATTATATAGTGCTATTTATTGACACTGATTAAACGTTTGAGAGAATTTACGCACCTATCATTCTATATACTTATCGGATTGAACATATTTTATGAAATCAGACAACACTGAAAACAATTTCTGAGTGAACGCACTCCCCTATCATAGTTTCATGCTTACCAGAGTGAACAGAGTTCATGAAACCTCAACAATTCCGGATAACACAGTTCACATGTAAACATTTCCCGACCAGTTACTCCCTTCCAAAAACAACAGACATCAAACGTACAGCGTCTGTCCACATCCTGCGAATGCAAAATTTCAGGTCGTCCAGCCCTGAGAATGAGCCCTCGGCACAGTCTGGATAAGTCGACGAAGTCGTTCGTGCGGAACTCTTCCACACTTTTCCTGCATTGCGATGGTCAGTTGTGGAAGTACCTGGGGCCGTGTTTTGACGTTGGTGTACACGTTTATTATCCCACAGGTCTATCAGGTTTCGATCTGGTGACCGGGAAGGCTATGACAAGACACTGACGTTAGATTTTGGCAAGGCAGCGGACCGTGACGCCTGCTGTAGTTGAAGTAGTGTTGTCATGCTGGAACAACTCCCTCCGTCACTCCATAAACAGAAGCATGTGACGTGCGTTGATGGACAGATTTGCTGTCAAATGCCCCCTGAAACACTACTATATCAGATCTATGTGTGCTGGATATCGCACCCTACACCATGACACTGCCTCAACGAATCTGTTGACCTGTCGAATGCAATTAGGGGCAAAGTTCAATTCTCTGACGAGAAACACGCTGTCCTCTATCTCGCCGGTGAAGAATAGATCGTGCATTTTGATTTGCATGTTTTTGGTGACGTTTTGGCGTAGATTTCTTAAAACGCTATTAAAACACGGGAAAAAGTGAAAATTGCCGCGTTTTTGTGCTGAGACTGTTTACAATCACACAAAAATGACGTTTTGGAAAGGAAGAGTATATTTGTATTGCTTTGAGTCAAATATTATCGAAATCACCTATGCGTTTCCTTTTTTGAAGAGTGTGTTCGTCTAATGATCGTCTTGTGCAGCATGCCAAAACTCATGATGAAAACAAGGCACTCCACAGCTATATAAAACGAGTCAAGTATGTTGGACAGAATCTCAATGTCAATGTTGATTTTGTTGACGGTTCTGGACTGCTGGATACAGAAATGAGATTCAACCAAACGAGATGGCATAGACAATCAGCCCAGACATTTTGAAGGGAACGTTCTCTGATCACCAGCTGCACCGAGGTGTATGTGAAGTGTGTAGAGGGCACATTTGGTTGTGGATGCAGTCGGCTGGCCTGAAGAGTGAGACACAAGGCCTCCTGCTTGCTGCTCCATCATTCACTCCCCATGTGTGTCAAAATGTAACGAATTTAATGAGACTGTCTGTGTCAGTGGATCCCTGCCAAGTACTGACACAAATATCTTAGGCGACATGACGGTATTGTTCAGTCCTTTGCCATGCCTGTGGCTTTTACTCCAAGGTTCATTCATGGTACTACCCAGAGTATGTAAAGGGCGTCATGGAAAATTTTACAAAATTACAATTACAATATTCTTTGGAATAGGCCCGTATACAGCCTCATATATGATCTTGTGAAAAACCCAATAAAAACTATATGTATCATTGAATTTCATGTCCCCTTTGATTACAATGTTGTTGACAGGATTCAGGAAAAGCATGATAAAAATATGCGGACCTCGCCTTGCATCCTAAGTCCACTATGGTCAGACTCCCCATTGTTTTGAGTGCTCTTGGTTTGGTACCTCCTGATCAGGTGTGCGCCAGCGTTCTCCACCAGCCCATCTGACACTCCGGGTAATGCAGGAGGCTTCAGTGTTGGGGCGTCTACATATTCTCTGAAACGTTCTTGGTGTCTTCGACTCGCAGCGCTTCATGGTAGAAAACCCATTTGCTGTCTGGGCTACGTGTTCATGGGAAAGGGTACCTGAGCTGGTAATGAATGCTACCAGCCTGACTATGGGTCACCCGAACCCTCTTTGCTGCATACTAATTTTAATCTATAAAAGATTATGATTCTAAATTTGTATTTTATGACTGTGCCCTTGTGTACGTCACCATTTTCCGATCAGGATCCCAGCCTGAGAATGATTTTACTAAGGTGTATAGTCAATAGGTAACACAAATCCAATGCTATGAATACAAGATAAATATAAGATACACATAATATTTTATGTAGGTGTTCAAAAACCCTATCGATTCAAAACAGGAGCAGAAGCGACTGTCGAATCTGAAAAAAACCTTGAGGCGTAACATGTTACTGGTTGAGTTTATGACAAGAGCTATTCCTTTGTTTTTTTCAAGAAATGTTTGGGGAGTTTGATTCGTGTTTGACGTATTCCAGGTGTGTGACTAGAGTCAGCATGTGAACTAAAGTCTAAAATCCAATGATTTGCGTTAAAGAGTGAGTAAGTGAGTGAGTGAGTGAGTTATTATTTAACGTCACATGGGCAATATTTCAGCCATATCGTGACGAGATTTGTGTTAAAGAAAACTCATCTTCGCAAATGGGATATTATGATGAACTAGCGAGCCTGACTACAAAATCACGTTTGTGACATTTTACCACGTGTCGCGGGTTCCTTAAGATTATTTCAAACCCTTGTTTTCAACTTCGGTTTACTAAACTTGTCCATAAACTTGTATATATTAAATCAAATAGAAACTTTGTCCATGAATATACGTCTTCTATATCAAATGTAACCCAGGTGTGCGGAAATAAAAAGTAAATAAACCCCCAAACAACAACTCTGACAAATTTCCCGATGACCATTTTAAAGAATTTATTTAGTAAACCAATGTTAGACGTGACGTAAGGTAAGAAAATAGTTTTCCTGCTATGCAGGTGTATTTTGTAAATCAAGCGTTAATGCAGTAAATTATCTGTCATTGAAATGGAAATCTTACCCTTGCTTCAGGAAAGTTTGCCATTGTCGAGGAGAACCAGTAGCAGGACTTCTTATATAGTACAAAACCTGGTGGACATGGCGAGTTAACAGCAACAACTGATGCAAGCGCGAACACCAACAGGGATGCTGTTTCACACCTCATTGTTTCACTTACACAGAGCGAAGTTTCTCCACGTCGTCACAGCTTCGCAGCGCTCTCTCTCTCTGTGAATTGTGCAAAATAACCAGTCAGCGTATATATTCCTAAATGGCAGGTGATCACGGATATATCATGTGACGTTAAATGTTAGCGTGACTGAAACGATCAAACAACACCAGCTTGCTGAAGTGTTCTGAGTTTTAACAGAACGTTTACACCAGGCAGGATGTGTTCACACCATGGCAACCGATTGTATCTCAGATTTCACTGATGGTTCGTCGATTTCGTTGAAACTGGTGGGTGTGATCACTGCGACATGTTGTAACACTTGGTTGTAATCCAACACGGATTTGTTGAGTAAATAGATATTTTGTTTGTTTGGTTTTCCTGATATTATAAGTAGATGCAGTAGCAAGAAACGTTGCTGGTCACCAAACCCGATATCAGCAATATTTTTATTATAGGATATTTATATAGCGCACATATCCACGCACTAGTGCATGTTCAAGGCGCTGGTATTTTCCCATCGGTCATTGGATGTCAATCTCAACGGCATATGGTATTATTAATCTCCGCTCCCTGGGTAGCATACAACTCTTGCTGCCACAAGGCGCACCAAGTTATTGCGGCTTTCTCATCCTTACGTGGTACCAATTCACAGCTGAGTGGACTGGGACACATAGTCACAGTACTTTGTACAAGTTTACTGCACGTTACTGTACCCGCAACTAGGTGTTTGCACGTATACATGTGGCCACCATCTGATCATATACCAACGGATTCGTGGGTTCTTTTTTAAGCGCTCAGGGTTGTGTTCTGTACACTAGAGGTTGTGACAACACTGAAAGAGTCTGCACACAAAGTTGACTCCAAGGTTTTTACACCCGGTCACAGGTGGGCTCGATCTCGGCACCTCATGCTCGCTGGATCACTAGCCTGGCGCCTTAGCCATCTCGCCCAACACACCCCATGCCATGAATACATCTGGGTTTTTTAATGAAACAGCTTTAGTACTCACTATTCTACTGCATCAATCGATTTTTCCAATTTCTAAAACATGAACACATCTGCAAAATTAATGTAAACTGTGTAACTGTTTTATCAGTATGATTATAAGTGTGAATGCTTTACTTATACTTTGATTATATAGTCCAAGAGCAACCCACACTTGTCGAGGATAAATATTTCAATGTCAAAACAGTGAAGGATCTTTTTAATGCTAATTATCATTTTTTAAAGAAATAGAAGTACTAGATAATGGTTTGTAAATAGATAAATATTTTATTATTGGTAGTTAAGATTAGTAACTGAGATTGTTAGAGGCGGTACCCTCAAAGGGGGTTGAAGTACTGTAAAATTATTGTCGTCCTGAGACAGTACGTAAGTCCGAAAGCATTGAAGGTAAATTTAAACCTACTATTATTTTTAATCGTAGTATATATGTTGTTTTATTTTGTGGCTAGATTATCTTAAATTGCTAAAAGCTGAAGGTGTGGTGTAAATCCAGCTGGGGTTCACGCAGGAAGCAAATGTACTGTAAGTCCCCATGGTCCCTAGAATGGTGATCTACCTTCAGTTGTTGGCAATACATAGCCTGGTTCTATATTCAATTGTTCTCTTTAAAAACATCATTTCATGATAACATGCTAAAGCTGGAATAACAGGCAAATCAAACGTCAGCATCTTGTCATGGCGTCCTGATCCTGAGATAAGCATCTCTGTGACGACATCGATAAATGTGTACGTCAACGTCAACTTACGCTACAAATATTTGCATAATTAGCAACGAGCTGCAGGACAAATAGACTTAAATTCCACAAGACAGGACCAGTATACACATCCCATCTATCCAAAAGAGGTGCAATGAAGAGATAACAGTACACTGTGGTCACACAAGGTACTCCCCAGAACGCAGCGCCCTCGTGGACGGACGTGCCTCGTGACAGGGACATCAGTTTTGCAACTATGTCGACAGAACATGCGACTATCACCATGCCAAGTTTCATCCTTGTATCAATCACATGTATGCACTTACAATGCAGCACAGTGAAATATTCAGTAAGCCCGTGGCTTTTTTGTTATGACGGTAAGAGATGGTTTCATGGTGTTTTTCAGGTTTGCACGGAATAGGGAAACATTGTGTTTATGGATGTTATGAAATACAATATCGTTCTTCCTTCTGATGTAGTGTCTAGTGAGGGACAGACATTCGGTCACCTTACATTCACTGCAGCATTGAATCAACAATAATTGCTGATGCTTAGATGAACACGACATCGGCATTGGAGACATGAACATAGATATAAAATATATATGAGACATGAACAAATAAATAACCCCCCATATTCTATATATGGTATTTAAAACAGATATACAATAAATGGTAATATTCGAGTTTTGGAACATAAAAACACATCCACAAATGTAGGATTGTCGACATGGGGGTCATGAACATCACGTTTTCCTTATTTCCCCTTTTTATTTATTTATTATGAAAATTACTCGTGTAGATCATTGTTTGTGAAATGCAGTGATTGAACTAATTTGCTTTTTACCTTACATGTTCCAATATCCAAGAAAACATTAATCTGGATTCTAAATTTTCAAAACTGTGAAGTAATACCTTTTAATATTCTACCACTTCGGGCATGATCGTCACTGAACTGAAAAAAGAATGTCTGTAAACATCTGGTGCAAGAGTAAATATTCAGCACGATGTGGACGGTTTCCATCAACGGAAATCTACCAACCTCAATGTTATATAATCAATAAATACATAACCTGGACATCTGGTAACTTACCCACAGTGGGATTGATTGGTGTATAATACTGCTATCATCCAGGTAACAATACCGACGATGTAAAGTGGCATTGTTTCTAGATGGGGTGGGAGATGAGCGTGTACAGAGAGATCAGGCAGGACAGGGAGGTGTAGTGGAGGGTGGAGAGATCAAACATGAGAATTGGGGGGAGAGGGGCGATCAGGTAGTAGAGGAGAGGGTGGAGATATCAGGAAGGGGGGATAGGGGGTTGAGGCAGGTGACTGATGCGTCTGTGTAACACTGGTCGAATATGCTTAAATGTTGCATTCTTCTGGCGTATGGCGTTAAATTTGACGGAAGACCATGCTCTGGCTGACACGATATTACGGCTGATTAAGAATTAGTTGTAAAAACAAAACAAAACAAATATAACAAAAACATGGCTGGACGAGCACTCCCTATGCATTGGGATTATGTGTATATATTTAGATACTGTGTGTATACATCTAGATACTGTGTGTATACATCTAGATACTGTGTGTATACATCTAAATACTGGGTGTAATCTAGATACTGTGTGTATACATCTAAATACTGTGTGTACACATCTAGATACTGTGTGTATACATCTAGATACTTACTGTGTGTACACATCTAGATATTGTGTGTATACATGTAGATACTGTGTGTATACATCTAGATACTGTGTGTATACATCTAGATACTTACTGTGTGTACACATCTAGAAACTGTGTGTATACATCTAGATACTGTGTGTACATCTAGATACTGTGTGTATACATCTAGATACTGTGTGTATACATCTAGATACTGTGTGTATACATCTAGATACTGTGTGTATACATCTAGATACTGTGTGTATACATCTAGATACTGTCATTCTAGATACTGTACATCTAATACCAATCAATACTGTGTATACATCCATGATACTGTCGTAAATATCTATACTTACTGTGTGTACATCTAGAAACTGTGTGTATACATCTAGACAAGCTAATTGTGTGAACATCTAATACTGTGTGTACATATCTAGATACTGTGTGTATACATCTAGATACTGCGTGTACACATCTAGATACTGTGTGTACACATCTAGATACAAATACTATTTTCTAACGCGTGTGTATACATCTAGTACTGACACATCTTACATCTAGTGCGTGTATACCTATTACATCTAGATCTTGACGCCATAAAATGATGGACTAATCTAGATACTGTGTGTACACATCTAGATACTGGACACATTGATTGTCATTAGTTTGTCCAAATAACAAGTATTTTCTGATACTATCGTCGAATGTTCCAAAATATCACTGCAGTCTATTTTGAATTACATTTCACTTGTATCCACACATAGAGGTTATTCTCAACTGCATTCGTTTTCCATTTCTTGTTGAATATTGACAAAGGTTTTTCCACATAGTTTATTTCGTTATTATACACATCGCTCTATTATATCGATCTAATATGTTGCAATAGGTAAGTGTTCTAAAGTGCTCACGGAAATAGAAATAAAATGGTTTGGGGCGTATATTTCGTAGTTTTGAACGCAACTATAGTTTGATTGTTAAATATTCTATCGTTTTCCTCACATGTTTTTTTTACACATGTTGTAAAATCATCCGAAATGAAATTGAAATTTCATCCAAGTCAAAATGTACGTTTCTGATGCAAGCAACTGTGGTATTCTCTCCATACGTACGGGTCCATACTATATTCTTTGAAACACGTCAGGTACCATTAATCCTTTATTTCTTTCATCCTAATTGATATACAACATAATTGATTTTGGGATTTTCTTAGTACATTTTTCATGCCTGTACCTTTGTTGAATGTTAACTATTCTTACGCGTTCATTCATAGCTTTGATTGCCAATTACACAATCGCTATGGCAACGCACGTGCAAATGCATATTCCCGTCTAAACAGTGCTGCGGGTAGTTGTTACCACCCATTTTTGAATGTGACGTAAGTTATCAATATGTTGTTAATATGTCAATTTTCGTTATTTTCACCAGTGAAATGCTATTTCACCAGTGAAATGGATGATTAGAGGACCAACTTAAAAGGCCTAGATGGGAAACAATAGGTAATTTTACAAATATTAAAATAACTATATTTTAATAAACAAATAAACACTCGAACCGTTTTATTTCTACTTCCGTGTGTACTTTAGGTTGACTTTCTGGGTTACGAGTGCCTAGGTTGGGTTAGGCTGGGTACTGACCCAATGTTTCACCAAAGTCTAAACGACTGGTACTGTCAAACACACCCCAGCGGTGTGACATGACAGTTATGATAAAACGGAAATATTATGCCTGATCAGAGCCACGTTAACTACCCGAAAATTCAGACACAATCAAAACCAGAAGAACACATCTTTCCAAAAGAGTTTATTTCAGTAAAACGTGGGTGCATTCAAACACACACAACATCAGCAGGATTGCAACGTATGTAGAAGAAACCAAACAGTCTAGCGGAGCGGTGTTCAACCGAATATAGTGATTGTGCTGTGTCAAACAGTAAACAACATTCTTGTCTACCCCATTGTATTTATGCTTGAATAACGCCCATTGGAATCGTTTGAACCGAATCGAGTTACCCGTGCATACAATTAGTAGCCTTCTTGGGACATGCACCTTTTCTTGCCACCAAGTCTGGGAATCCCCTGTGCACTTATAGTACTTAATTATCAATAACTGATGACCTTCAATACCTATAATCACAATATGCAATAAAACATCATTCTAACAATGTTACATTACATCCTTATCATATCGTCTTTATCTGTAAACCAACCAATCTATATCATAACATAGCAGCACAGCATCCGTTACAATTCAGTTTCGCAGCATCCCATTACTCATCGTCCACTTGCATTCTAAACAAACGCCAATTCATCGCATCAAGCCAAATTTGAAACAGATCACCTTCTTCAGCCCATCCGGCTCGCGACACGCCATGTCCTCTACTAAAACATCATCCCATTTCATCCCATCTTACAGCTGCGGTACATTACTCATTCCAAGAATGTAGCGTTCCTGCAGGGGACCAATACAGTATGTAGTTTCAACACACATTTCTCATCTGATCATATTACTTCAATACTGCAAAGGATGCTGATGTGACCAGGACACGTATACCGTTTATTGGGTGTGTATCTTACAGGTGATTTTTTGAAGAACTGTGCAGGCACAAAATCACACGTACTAACTACTATTTAGTTTACGTCTTTTTGAGATATAAAACGGTAATGTGAATAAATTCATATGAACTGACACTGCCTTGACCTTGCTTTCTTATATGTACAACAATGTTAAATCTGCTATTCGGTGCAGTAAGCAAACTATGACCGATGTATTTTATTCTATGACAGGAGTCCGTCAAGGTTGCAGCTTATCCTTATTCTATCCATTCTATATATTAATGAACTTAGAGATACCGTGAACAGTGACTACAGCATTGCATTTATTGACGCAGCTGTTTACGCACTTTCCATTCTCCTGTTTGCCGATGTTGTTGCAATGTTTGTATGCTATGAATGAGAATTGATATTTTAGAAATCTATTGCAACAAGTGGGGACTCTCTGTAAGTACCGACAAGACCAAGGTCGTAGAGTTACAAACAAGGTGGCAACGTATCAAAGCATTAAAAGTAGTATATTGGTAATGAGAAACTTGAAACTGTCAACTAATATAAATGTCTTGGATTAACTTTGTCATTTAGAAATTTGTTTTCTAAAGGTTTTGATGTTGTGTTGTTATCCAAGCAAGTCGAGGAAACTCTATATCCAATCAAGAAATGTATCTATGCCTTTAAAGCAGTACTTCCAGAGATTGCTTTTATAATATTTGTTGGAAAAATCCAGCCTATCCTACTGTACGGCCAGAAATCTCGGGGACAGTGTTTCGACACAACATTGAAATGGTACATTCAACTATTTGTAAATTTGTCTTACGAATTGGTTACCGGTCACCCACAAAAGCTATCCTAACTGAATGTGGACTATATCCACTACATGTAAATTATTTTGCCAGAGTAATATCGTATTGGATACGGTTGCTCAGATAGCCCGATTACCGTAATTCGAAACGATCTTATGTTAAAACGTTTAAAGATGATTCTCGATATGTTAATTGGACCTTGGCGGTGCGAAAGTTCCAGTATGTTGTTCCAGTATGGCTTGTCCTATGCTTGGTTAAAGATGTTGGAAGTATCTAATTGTTCATGTGTATATTCAAGCAAAGATGTAAATATATTTATTATCAAGAGTGGTCAGCTACTGTGACTACTTCCAAATATCTACGCACATATTCAACCTATAAACTTGATATAATGCCGGAAACGTACCTACGAGTGCTACCTTCTGTTCATCTGCGTAGAGCACTGACGAAATTTCGATGTGGTAATTCTGGTTTTAACATACAATCATACAGACGTTTGAAAAATGCAGATATCATAATTACCATGCGCCCTTATTACGTTTAGCTGTGTATTCTACAAAAGTAATGCCTTCCCATACAATTCATGTTTAAATCAATGCCAGGCACTCAGGACCCTCAACTACACTGTATTATGATTGTCGATTCGTACAAATAAAATCTTCTGTCTAGATCTGGCACTCGCTTTGTACAACCTGCATAGATTGAAGGTATGGGTGTTCGTCGAGTGTACGCAAGCTACTTCACCGAAAGTGAAAATCAATCATTAAATGTCAATCTGACAAACGTAATACATCGCCAGCTCGCACCGCTCGTCATGGAGACCGTCAGTGAATACGGTCATGCAGTTTTCATCCGTTGAATTTGCGGGTTGGTCTGGAGCCCAGAAGGAGTTGACAAGAACCCTGCTGTCTGCCCACACGTACTCCCCTTCAACGGCAATGTCGTCAAGGCCAATAAACACACCTTCAGTGGCATCTACAAAAATATAATAAAAATGATGAAAATGGTTTGCCAGGACCCGGTTGTATCAAACTTTAATAAAGCTTTAATCGTTAATTAAACCATGATTAGTTAATCACTGATTATCTTCAGTTGCATGGAATCCTTAATAAAGGAATCCCTTCATTAATCCATCATTAAGCTAATGAAGGTTTGGGGGTATCATTAACTCATCATTAGCTGTATCAACATGGCAGACGACATACTGTACCATCAACTTCGACGTCGGAGAAAAGAGAAACACTTTCGCGAAGGGATTAATTAACCCCCACCGGGTGCCACAGGGACATATATGTCCTTCCTCTTTATATAACCCTCACTTTGAAGTTCAATAACATTCTAAATATATCACATATTTATATACAAATATACTTCACAGTTTTGAATTCTGCGGGAAATTCCCTGTTTCTTGATACCATCCACTATTAAATCAGACAAAACTAAAGTGCTTAAAATAACCTTTCAAAATAGACTTCGTCGTGTCGCGATTTTTGACACAATATGTAATCGCGATTCAGAGAGTTATTTGCTGTAAGTTTTGAAATGTGAAAATTTGACAATTACTGGGAATATAGAATTTCAAAAATAGCATAGCAATGAACACTGATATCAGTTTTTCATAAAATCACTAATGGGGGCGGTGGGGTAGCCTAGTGGGTAAAGCGTTCGCTCGTCACGCCGAAGGCCCGGGTTCGATTCCCCAAATGGGTTAAATGTTTGAAGCCCATTTCTTGTGTCCCCCGCCGTGATATTGCTGGAATATTGCTAAAAGCGGCGTAAAATCAAACTCACTCACTCACTAATGATAATTCTGAAACGTTGCCGATGAACCTAGAATCGGTTGGGATGTTTTCTAAAATACACTTACACAAACGCCGAAGTGAGTTTTCCGCCATATTGGATACTGTTTACAAAATCACGTTTCGCGAAGGCCGGTTTTGAGACGCCTATTACATCACGTATATTTCATATTCAGCTGCGAGAAATACACCACTGAATTCCCTATACATTTTGGAATCAAATTACAAATGGTCTTTGTCACCAATACCAACTGTCTAGATGAAATGAAACGAAAGATATTGGGACGAAAACGAACATTGTACTCGGAAGATTGCACTTGTTTGAAATGAAAACAAAGAAAAAATCCGATTTTACTCTGCGTAGCATTTTCTGGAATTGTCCGACACCCAGCCGTCCATTCTTTGCTTGCAATGGCTCAATATTTTTAGAATATGCATGGAAAGAGTATCGTGCCAAGAAACAGGAAATTAAAAACAGATACAATGCAATGATTTGATAATTCATAAGAATTTATCAAGGTTTCCATGCAGTGTGACGCCATGACTGATGCAAAATAACGCAGAACGACAACGGTAATTATCAACATTTCTGGCTTCTTCTCTTATTTATCCAATGAAAACTATAAAAAACATATAACAATACACAGAGAGCGAGAATAATTCTGATTACTTACATCACATATTTATGTACAAATGATCCCTGAATCAAGGGAAGAGTCCTCGCCAAATTCTGTGTACCCTTGTCAGCGAAGTCGCCATTTTGTAAGAAATCGGTCAGCGATAGTGATGTCATACGTCAACATTGTTGCATTAGGCAATTTCTTTGAGGTGAAGGTCGGCTGAACAAGCGTAAACACAATCGCCCAATCCTTTCGATTACACTGTCAGTATTATGTATTTTGCGTATAGTTCAGATACTTTTTCATGAAACTGACTTCAGTATCTACATTTAGTTTTGTTCAATATCATATCATACGTGGATATAGGGTATACATTCTATATTTTTTGAAAGTTTTTGATTGTTTGAATAATATTTACATAAGAAATTGACATATTTAGTGTAGTAGACCATATTCTGTCTGAAAACACTTTTTATTTGCATTTTGAAACATGTTGTTCCATTTTGTATTGATTTCTTTGGACGTTCTATTGCTTACCCCAATGCTATTGAGCTAAGACGTTTTTTTGTCCCATATCTGCTTCTTTTTGTCATTAGTAATGGAATTAGTCAGTTTGCTGTTTAACACACTGATATGATCTTCAACCAGGCCTGTATTTCACAACTTTCAAAGTTTTTACTGTGATTTCTGACGGCAGCCATTATGCAGACTATAGATGAGTGTTTACCTGCAATGCATCATGGATAATAATTAGGGGATTTCCCTAAGTTAATCATGGTTTAATGACGGGACCTTTGTTAGAGGCATACTTACTTAATGGGTGTTTAAATAAGGGTTTATACAACCATATTTAAACACTTCATTAACTAATCAAACATTATGAATTTAATCAATGATTAGTGTTTAATTGATGATTACATAATTACGCGTTGATACAACTGGGTCCAGAGCATCACAAATACTGACAAAAGTTAGTCTTTTCCTGAAACAGCCCGTGTCATTCGACCACATTTGTCTGATTAAATCTGTTTGACAAAAATAGTTGCTAAAAAACCGTTCACCGCGTACTTATGGTGCATCGTGATATTCTTCTGCAGTGACCACACCTCTGGGTATGTTTTAAGGGTACTCGTTTCTGACCAAACAGAGCTCACTTGCTCCTCAATCTTTGACAGCATTAAATTGGGCTTTGACCCATCATATCCACCGTAAGTAACATTTCGCTACCATTTTCACCAAGACAGGCCCGACACATTTGAGAGATTTTTTTCTGTTGACATGCATGGTGACAAGATGAGCCCTTAACTATATCTTCCTTTGAGACCAATATATGAAGTCACAGACACTATTTAGTGCATATTATCACGTGCGACAGCATCACGTGCGACACCAAGCAATTGGCACTCTGATACCTGTTGCTGTCGAACATTATTCAGAAAGGAAAGTCCCTTGAAAATGCTGGAATATATACAATAACTGATATTCAGACGGACAAATCGGCGGAAACACACGTTTTAATTAGCAATGCGCTGAACAGTTTAGGACTAAGACGCTTGAACGGCAGGTGTCCGGGTTTTTTTATAAATCAATGCGTTTGTATTTGCTCTCACTTGGAAAGTATTGCAATGCGTTCAGAAGGCGCATTCGAATGGCCATGTCTTCCAGGACGACCAGATGACCCCCATCTCCTTCACAGTCAGTCTTAGCATCAGTCCAGTTCTTCTTCACCCAGCGTGTGCTGTAACATCCTGGCGGGTTGTCCAATGCTATGTAGCCTTTATAGTAGGGACATTCCTCTGAAACAGACAGTCAAGTGTGGATCATCACTTAGGGGAACAATGTTTTACTTCTTAATGACACCATTATTAATGGCCCTGGTCATCTTGTTCTTGGACACTGAGAGGGGTCGAGTTACTCTGTGCAACACTAACTAATTGGTGCAACTTCTGTAACATTAGTTTCTTTTAGAATTTCTCGTGCTTCGATAATGTTTCTCGTTATTTCGAGTTTCTCTCCACCTTTCGAAATGTCGAAAAAATATTTTAAAAATGTTTGAATCAACGAGGAAAACAGACATTTCGATTTTTTACTGCAATAAGACAACGGTACGAACAAGGAGCAATTAAGCTGGAGAAGAAGTAGTTGGTGATATTTAATAACCTTTATAATCTTAGTCTTGTTTCATGAACAACGATTGTAGTCGAGTAAATGTAGGTAACCCGTGACCTCTAGTATAGATTCTCTGCAATCCATGCTTGACGTAAGAGACGACTTACTGGATCGGATGGTCAGGCCCGCTGACGTAATATACATGTCATCCTATCTCAAATGCATAACTTTATGTACATGCCAATCACAAGTTTGTGTGGTTCAGACTGGATTGTTTGCAGACCATTGTCATGTATGTTGTATAATAATAAACAAAATACAAACAATCGACGGATCCGGACATAGGATCCGGGAAGCAAAAGGACATAACTCTAGACAGTGAATGACAGAAATTTACAATGATCGTTCGTAAATAATAATCCATATCTACCTGAACCACGGTAAAAGAATCGGACGCCAGGAAGGGGACTTAGGATGGGAGCAGGGAAGAAGGCAGGCAACAGGCGACATTCGCCTCGGATGCTGTTGATGCTGAATAGAGCACAGCTGCTGTTGTCGTTACATGCTTGTGCGCATGTTTCTTTAGTCTTCTTTGTAAACTCGGCAATACTCGATGGAGTTGTCATGGCCATGTTGTCAAACGTCGAGAGCCAATAGTAATGACGACGTTCATTCAACCTAAAAACCACAGCAACATCCAATAATTAGTTAAGCAAATGTTTTCTTCAAATACAAATTCAAGTGTCCATTTAAATTGAAATGAGTAACAAAATGAATTGATTCATATATTTTTTTCCAAAAGGATATACTGTGTTTACACAAGATTTCATATATTGTAATGATTTGTAGATGTGTAAATGAATAAAAAATGATTATAAGGTGGCCTGCCAGAAATCCAGATCTCAATCCAACAAAATATCTAACTTTTGCAAATTGGTTTATAGTTTAATTTACTTAGATGTTGTTATTGTATCCTTTAGGGATTAAAGTTAATAAATTGTCTATTGTTTGTACTGATTGTGATTTATATGTTACAGAATTATTCTTATTTTCCAAGAAGATATTTGACTTCCATCTGAAATTTTTCACTCTGTTTTACAATAGATCGAATCAAATACAAAAGACTGTGGCCCAGGTGCTTAGCAGATATGTATACACTGAGGTCAAAGGATCCATACACATGGAATTAGCTGACTTCTGGAAATATATCTGATGCAAAGAAACGTATCCCCTTTGTGTCCATTGGAGCTGATCATGCACGTGAACAACTCAACAGACTAATGAAGGTACACACTGGTCTCTGTGGCATATCACGGAATGCAAATGCTAGAGACTAGATAGTGGTTATTTCTGGCAGCATCCGAGTTGTCATGCTTAACAAATGATTTTGAAGCTGCTAAAGTCAAGGACCATCATGAGCTTGTGCCAGGTGTTATCCGGCGTGGCCAAATTGCCGTTGACAAAATCAAGAATGGTATCCTGAGTCATGGGAATTATTTTACTGTTGAAGGGGACAAGCTGCAGAATCTGATAACACATGCCATATTCAAGATCAGTAGGTCTCTCAGATATTCCGAGCAAAAGTTGTGTGAAGAATATGTCGTAGAAAGGATCAATGGATCAGCCTTAGGGCTCCACGAAGGATCTCTACATGTCTGATAGCAAGAAACACACAGTGAAACATCGAGACAAGGTTATGGACCTGAAAGAAACAAAGGACGTGCATGCAAGATCAAATTGTGATATTGACCTGAAACATGCTATGAATTCACACTGACACCAAGAACATTCTTTTCCCCGGACGGCATGTTGTTGCAATGTCGAGACAAGTCAAAACTCATCAGTTGCCTTGATCCAGAAATGACCTATCAACCTGTCCAAAGCGACTCTACAGTGATAGGATTGCTGTAGTTGATGGTATGGATCTTCTTCAGAAGATGACACAGTTACCTCCTACAGCGGAGACAGTAAAGGATCACAGTCAGTGCTTCATTAACTGACTGATGAGCCTCACAAGATAATTTAATGAAGTCAGTCTTGTGTTTGATACCCATAAACCTGCCTCACTTACATGGTCAACAAGAGAAAAAAGACGTTATGGCAAGGATCCAGCCCCGAACCAAATAACTGTTGAAACAAGAATGAAGCACATGGCATTTAAGCGATTCGTATCTCACTCACTCACCAAGTTACCTTGCACAGTACCTAGCAATAAAAGCCCGTGGAGTACAGCAAGGATTCATCAAAAGTAACAGCAGCATAAACATTGAGTCAGTCAACCATGAAGAGACTGACACACTCATGATCTACCAAGCCATCTGTGCATCTCAACGAAACTTGTCTTCTTCTCTCCAGATACTGACGTCCTCGTCCTAATCATAGAAAATTATGATCGCCTGCCAGGAAAGACACCAATCTCCATGGCATCAGGTGAAGTACAAATAATGCCTATATGGAAATCACTTTGGGTTGAAAAAGCGAAAGATCTGGCAGCCTTCCATGCATTGTGGGGATCTGATAATACAGGTAGATTTTATCTTGAGTTGGGAAGACTACTTGCTTCAAAAAGTTTCTAGGAACCACCGAAGACACTGTTGAAGCGTTACTGTTGTTGTCTTGTAGAGAAGATCTTGATGAAGAAACAGTTTTAACATTAGATATATTTGTATGTACTGTGTATTGTCCAAAACAATCACCTTGAATAAAATTCAAGAACTCAGATGGTATCTCTTTTGCAAGCATACAGCTGAAAGTGACAGGTTCCCTCCAACACTTGGTGCCTTGAGATTGAGTTTAAATGAATCATGGGTATGGGCTCAAGTTCATGTTGCCAAACAAGTCTTCTTGGACCCAATGAGTTACAGGTATCATAAGGATAAAGATGCTAAGCTTGGGCCAGGCACCACAGATGTTCTTCCTGCTCCCCAGATTTTTGAGATGGGATCGATGCCAGTGCAAGACAGATTGTTCAACTCAACGATGTACATGCAAATCAAAAGATTTACTATGTACTGAATGGTAATCAATGTGAGAATGACGAGTCTCAAACAGTTCCTGATGATAACTTTGATGTACTGATATATATATCATCATGATGAGTGTGAATAGTTGTGGAAAGACCTCTCCTTTCGGTGATATTGCAGATATTGACTTTCATCATTAATTACAGCTTATCTATTGGAGAATGATAAGATGTATTAAATGGAAATCATGGTGATATTGATGAATTGCTGTAAAGAGTGTTGTGTATGTGGTGCTTGTGATGGCTGAAGATTGCAACATCTGACGATAGACATTAACCTATAAATTCTGTGACATTGTGGACATTCATCTTCAACCATTTGTTTCGCCACTTACACCACTTATCAACACGTTAGTAGTTTAATTCATGTTTAATAGCTAATGTGGTTATCATAACATTCATAATATTCTTGTTTTCCACACAGAGCAAAACCAGTATAACAATATATAGGTGTCCGGAGTTCAGTGTATAATTATTTATAATAAATAGCTGATATATAACATATAATGTTTCAATCTGGTACATTTTCCCTTCATGTATACACAGTAACTAGCATAATGTTTTTTCAAATATACTGAGTCAAAAAAGAAACCTCACAAAATGTAATTTGAAAAACAATGAACAATTTTTCTCTGATGATACATCTATGTATCCGAAATGGGATCCCTATCTTTCGACTGTAGAAAAACGTGAGCAAAACCCACTCATACCCATCCATTCGTCGTGCAAATGACGTCAGTGCCAAATCAGGTTTTGCACGTGCAGTCGATCACGTGATCTTCGCATCGAAGTTTTCTACATATGCACGTGTTTGAATTGGCCTCAAGAATTGAAAAAAACACTTTTAAACCACATTTCTAACGGTATTTGAAATGCCACGATTGTCAAATGTGCAACGTGAACGTGCCGTTGGCATGTTGCAAGCGGGAAGATCAGTTATTGACGTCGCAAGAGCAATGGAGTGCACCCGTCGTACTGTGTATGACTTGCGATGTCGTCTACAACAAACTGGCTCCACTTCTGATCGCCCAAGCTCGGGTCGTCCCCGTGTGACGTCACGAGCAGAAGACCGCAAATCGTCCTACGTCACCTACGTGACAGATTTCTGCCGGCTACATGAACCAGGGCTGAGATGTTTACAGGTCGACTGTCCTCATAGACCATTCGAAATCGGTTGCGGGATGCCAATCTCCATTCTCGACGTCCATATCGTGGGCCAATATTGACGCCGTTTCATCAACGTCAACGTCTGCTGTGGGACCAACGTCACCTCCGATGGAACCAGAGAGACTGGAATCGAGTCGTCTTTAGCAATGAATCCAGGTTTACCCTCAGATTCATAGAGTCTAGAGACGACGTCGTGAACGGTATGCCCAATGTTGTGTACAGGAAGTCGACAGATTCGAGGGCGAAAGTTGCATGGCGTGGGGTGCTTTCTGTGGGAACAAACGTTCCCGACTTCTGGTCATCCGTGGAAACCTCACAGTTCCTGCTTACCGCGACCAGGTGCTCACCCCTGAACTCGTTCCTTTCATGGCGGCTCATGGCCCAGGTCTACAGTTCCAGCATGAAAATGCTCGGCCGCTTACCGCGATCCAATAGATGACCTTAATCCAATACAGCACGTTTGGGATGCACTTGGGAGAAGGCTTTGTGGTCTTAGGAACCAACCTCAGAATTTGCAGGAACTTGGCGCTGTCTTGCAAGAGCAATGGCGCAGAATCCCCAACCACGTGTTCACAAGCATCAGGCAGTCGATGAGGAGACGGTGTTTGGCAGTGGTGAATGCGCGGAGCGGCCATACACGATATTGAACTGAGAAATTTCGCATTTTTATTCTTGTGACTTGACATTCTGTATACCCATGTTTTGGAACGGCGGTGTAGCCTAATGGAACTGATTATGGCACTGTCAGTGTATCGAGTACATCACACAGATCTCAGCAATGAAATAATAACAATTTAACCACCTTACCATCTCTTGTTCTTTTATAGTACCCTGAAGAAAGAATGTGAAGTTTCATTTTTGACACAGTATATATAGTGGAACTAGAAACAGAATAGCATTTAAAGGTGAAGAAAAGGTTGCACATTATTGAAAAAATGGGAATGACTTCTGAAACATAAAGGTACTTTATAGTCCATTGTATAATGTCTTTTCGAGTACATCACACAGATGGGGATGATGGTGAAAATTGGAAACATTGCTTTTTATGTTAAGTGTAGTGAGTGGTTTCAGATTTTTTCCCGTCATCCCATTGGTGGCCATCTTGGATTCCAAAATGGCCGCCAATGGGATGATGGGAAAAATTGGAAACATTGCGTTTTATGTTAAGTGTAGTGAGTGGTTTCAGAATATGCATACTGTTGCTAATCTCCAATTTCTTTGAGCGAAAATACATTATACAATTGCCTATAAAGTACCTTTATGTTTCAGAAGTCATTCCAATTTTTCCCGAACTGCCGGGGTTACACGCTCTACAGAGCGTTGAGTTAGTTAACTCCCAGGTGACAAAAGGTCGCAGCCAACTGAACTGATTGTTTTTGCATCCTGTTGGTTGTCATGACAGCGAGAGGTTTAGCTTATCTTTTGTAGCCGTTATACCGTTACTTAGCTTATCAACTGGTTATTATGTCCTCAAGATTTCTTCACCAGCGAACCTTGTTAGTTTTAATTAGGATATTGATCCTGTAGGCCATCTGTCTTTAGTTACATTTAACAGTAAAAATAAGACTGTGAGCTGATACCATGTTTTCTAGTACTCCTATATTCTCTTATTCATTGACATTTTCATCCAGGGAGTATAGCTGCAAGACGGATTGCTGCTGACTCAGGTGTTTAACAACTTAGAAACAAAACTCATTTAGTGTTTACATACCTGCACATGTTGGCAGTGGTTCTGACGATGAGGCAGACAAGTAAAAAGCCAAGTCGGTTGTCCATACTTCTTCTTCTTAGTACAATTCTGTATTTTGCTCTTCCTTTGACTCTACTAGCTCTCGCGTCTTCCTCTGACTGTGTACTAGCACTCTCTCTCTTCCTCTGCCCGCGTACGTTTTCTCTTTCCTCCGCTACCAGTTATTCCGTGTCTCTGTTACTTGTCATACAATGCTGTATTTCTTTCTTCCTCGGCCTCTGTACTTTTTGTCTCTTATTCCTCTTACTGCAATGCTGTATCTATCTTCCACAGCAGTGTGTCCTTTCTCTGTCTTCTTTTCTGGGTAATATGTTGTTCTCTCTCCTTCCCACAATGTTGTATCTATCTTCGTCTGCTATGTTCTTCTCTCCCTCTCCTGGCTGCATATCTTCCTCTGTAAAGTTGTTCTTCTCTCCCTCTTCCTGTAATACTGTCTCCCTCAGTGGACGATCGCCAGCGTAATGGCGCTTGAGTTCACGGAGCAAGATGTTTATCATGTCTGTTAAAGCATGCACGTCCACACATCCCACCGCGAATTCTCTTGACAAATAACAACAGGGTTTGGGGATAGAGCTTAGCATGGACTATACATGAGCATTAAGGTTTGTTGAGTTCGCTTTCCTGGTTTGGTTCACATTTCATCGTACACATGAATCCCATGTTAACGCTGATGCTCAAGGGAATCTATGTCGTTCATCAACTTACAAACGCATCTTTGGTTTCGTTTCCACTTGCACTGCAATATACAACCATTCATGGTCCCGTGGTAGACGGTGTCTGAGTAATTCCATGTACAAATATCGTATGTGGGCGGTGCGACCTATTCCCCTGTCCCTCTGAAAATCTTCTTCTATGTCGAAGCAATGACATGATCTGTAATAGGCGGATAGGAATAGGTCATTTCCGGTTTGACAACACAGATTCAGATTCAGATTCAGATTCATTTTACTCAGTATTTCGGGCCTAAAGGCCTATAGTACAAATACACTTGCTTCAATTATATGCACGTGGTGGTTGTGGTGACATTTCTTGCATTGAAGACATGTTTTAAATAAATTGCAATAGATTTGATAATATCAATATTTTTAGAATTTAACAGACTGGACAATATTTGTTCATCTCTTACAGGTGTTGATACAAATGATAAATACTTACTTCTTAAATCTAAATACTTGGTACACACAAATAATACATGAAATTCACTTTCAATATTACCTGTATTACAATTTTTACAGATGGATTTGTCTTGTAGATTCATAATATAAAACTCCGGTTCTAACAAAGATTTATGAGAAGAATAGTGCTCTAAGAAACTTGAATTATCTATAGACATAGACCATTCTTTGAAGAAAATGTCCTCAAGACGTTGCTTAAAAACATATAAAAAATTACATTCATTTCCAACCATTTGTGAAATCCAGACATGAGACCACACAATCCAGTGATTGTCGCAAAAATCACCACGACTATGGGCGATCACAAAACTACGGCTTTCATCCACAACTAAATTTCACTTGCATAGAGTAAGTGAGTATTGTTTTACGCCGCTTTTAGCAATATTCCAGCAATATCACGACGGGGGACATCAGAAATGGGCTTTACACATTGTACCATGTGGGGAATCGAACCCGGGTATTCGGCATGACGGGCGGGCGCTTTCACGATTAGACCACCCCACCGCCCCTCAAATGAAATAATAATAATAATATGTTCATTAATAGCGTAAAAACTCCACACTAGGTATGCTCATAGCGCTAACAATCAAGGCACAGCACATTATTACCCCGGAAAACCCAAGCTGCCTGTATGGCGCTAGAAGGTTATAGTCATATCATATGACTTTTTCCACCGGGTACCCAATTTCCTGCTGGGGGAACAGAGACAATTTTGAACAAACTCACTTGCATAAGGTGAGACCACATGTGTCACAAGTGCTTCGTTGTGGGGTAGGACTCAAGTCCTAGAAACTCTCAGGAGTCAAGCTGCCAAACACGGTCACTCATCCAAGGACTCTCTGAGCTCGACGCTGCTTAACTTCACCGATTTGTGACCTGAGCTTTGAGCACAGGACCAAGCGCCACCACAAATGCATAGACATTTAATGTGTGTTTGGCACGGTTGTTATTAACGTCCATTGGGTTTCTTGGGTTCGAATCCCAGGCTCTCCCTGTGTATGAACCTTCGTCTGTCAGCTTCACATTTATGTTTTGGGGTAATAACGTCGAGACCTATCCTTACCGGACATAGGCGCCGATCTTCGCCATGATGAGTCCGACAATGGGTTCGATTCTCAGATTCTCTCTGATTATGATCCTTGGTTTGTCTGGATCATAACGAAGTTTTTCCATTTCACCTTTCATCCTACATTGACCCGTAAAGATCCATGCTTGTCGTAAGACCCATGGTTCCTAGTATGGTGATCTACCTTCAGTTGTTGGCGATCTATAGCTCGTGTACATTGTATTGTCTTCTTTAATTGGAATGTTTTAGCTTAGCTCGCTAGTTTTATATTATAAACTCTGTCAAAAAAGAAACGCAACCCCTGTCCTCAGATATGAAAAATTCGTTTGAATGAAGTTATTGCTTCCAAACTAAATTTTATTCGAATGTATTGAAATGATACACGTAATTAATGAAGATTACCATCCAAACAACTGCATTTGTACGCATAAGTGTATTTTATTGCTTATTCCGTCACAACGCATGAAATGACCCTCATGGTGACTTCGCACAAAAAACACATGCAAATCATGAAAATGGCAGTTAATGTAGGGGTGTATAAAAGCCCATGTGCTTCCGTATTATATTCATTCATTTGTCGCCGAAAGCTGTGTTAAAATGCCACGATTGAGTGCTGCCGACCGAAATATCGCCATTGGTCGTGTTCAAGCCGGAGAAAGTTTTGGAACTGTTGCACGGCACCTAAATGTTCACAAAACAACGATATCCCGACTTTGGAGCCGCTACAACAACTTCAATTTGACCAACGATCGCCCGAGAAGTGGAAGGCCAGAATCACGACCCCCTTCAAGATCGGTACATCCGGGTCCATCACCTGCGTAATCGGCATGCCCTACCAACCGTGACTGCCACACAAATACCAGGTTTGAGGAGAGTGTCAGCTCAAAAGATTAGGAACCGTCTGAAAGAAGCGGGTTTACGTGCCTGTAGACCAGTTGTTGGACCTGTACTACGCCCCTACATCGACGCCGACGACTCAGGTGGTGCAACAACGTAAGGATACGGACTTTACAAAACTGGAGGCGAATCTGGTTTTCTGATGAATCACGTTTTCTTTTGCAACGTCACGACGGAAGACAGCGTCTGTATAGGAGACGTCATAAACGTTTAGCGCCCATCTGCGTCCGACAGGTGGACAGATTTGGCGGAGAAAGCGTCATGGTTTGGGGACCATCTCATACAACCAGAAATCTGACTTGGTGATCGTTCAGGGAACCTGACAGCCCAACGTTACATCAACCACGTGTTAGAGCTTCACCTTCTCCCGATTATTGACCAACAGACACAGATTTTTCAACGGGACAACGCCCGGCCTCATACTGCACGTGCAACAATGAACTTTCTGCAGAATTCCAACGTCAATGTCTTGCCATGACCCTCTAAATCACCAGACCTCAACCCTATTGAACACCTGTGGGATACTCTGGATCGACGCGTACGTCAACGTCAGCCGCCGCCACAGACGCTGCAACAGCTCGCCGTTGCACTGCAGGAGTGGAGAGCCATTCCCCAGGAAAGAATCCGGCGTCTTATCCGTTCTTGTCCAAGGAGATGCCGTGCAGTGATTGCAGCGCGTGGTGCTCATACGAGATACTGAGACAGACGCCCCCCTGGTGACAAACTGGTGTCTGTGAGATGACTTTTTTAATGACAATTTTAAACATGCCCATCTGGGTTATTATTCTGCCAAATTTCAGACTTCTGTCTTAAATAATAAAAATGCCGTGTCGTCCTAAAACTTCAGATCAAAATCTCTAAAATACAGGGGTTGCGTTTCTTTTTTGACAGAGTTTATGTGTGATTATCTAGTATTTTTACTGTCCATCGTCGACAGGTTTTAATCTTCAAAATGTTTTCACTATTTCCCGTATAAATTATTTTCGACACGATATGGCTGAGAGATTGCCGATGTGACGTTAAATATTAACTCACTCACTCACTTGTCGTAAGAGGCGACTAGCGGGATCGGGTGGTCAGGCTCGCTGACTAGGTTGATATATGTCATCGTATCCCAATTGCGCAGATCGATGCTGATGCTGTTGATCACTGGATTGTCTGGTCTAGAGTCGATTATTTGCAAACCGCTGCCATATAGCTGGAATATTGCTGAGTGCGGCGTAAAACTAAACTCACTCACTCACCCACTTAATCATCCCACACTGATCCATGATGTAACTGGCGCAACTCACATATTTAGATAAGTCACATAGATAAATAACTACATAAGTTCCAAACAATTCCCAACTATTCTACGTTGAATAAAATTTACAAATTCCACAATGTAGAAGCGTAGACAACGCAATTCCTTCTGCAAAATGTTGTATTTACGACAGTGGTGTTGGTTGTTGTCAAACTAATTAAAATTAAGTCAATATATGTGGTATTGGTATTTGGTAACTAGAACTCGGTTCCATTTTAAAAAAGGAAAATATATTACCCCATAACGTCTACCACAAAGATATTACCACCCAAAGCCCAAAACGTTGGGTATTGTGGAAACTCCAACAGTGCTATTGATCACTAAACACCTAATCGATAAAGTATCGTGTAAATAAAGAAACCGTATTTCGGTGGTGGGCAACAAGTATTTGTAACATGACACTTGAAACTCACATATATTATGTCTGAATGAAATCTTATTTTTATATCCGCAACAATGCCTTGGTACGGAAGTACATGAACAAAAGAAGCGCCATCTCCTTGGTCCATGCCTGTGTGTTGTCACGCATTGACTACTGTAACTCACTCCTGCAAGGTTTGCCATCATGTCTGGTCAGGAAGTTACAAGTTGTACAAAACTCAGCGGCCCAAGTCGCAACAAGAACAGCGAGACATGATCACATCACACCAGTTCTCCAACATTTACAGTGGTTGCCAGTGCCACAGCGGATCAAATACAAAGTTGTCCTGCTTGTCTTCAAGTATCTCCACAATCAAGCCTCTCAGTATCTCTCCAGCATGATAACCAGATATCAGCCAGTCAGATCTCTTCGATCCTCTCACCAGTGTCTCCTTCAGCCACCTGCACTAAAACCCAGTCGGATCACCAGCCGTTGTTTCCAAATTACCGGACCAAGCTTGTGGAATCAACTCCCACAAC